ATCACAAATCAATTTCCAACCGAAAAGTTATGCTCCGATATTTTAGTCTCATATTGAGACCTATTTTTGGTATAGAAAGTGATCGAATTAAAGAATGATGTCTGAATCAAAGTTGTAGCCAGATGAGTTAGCTTTCCAACGCATTTTGAATCGCCTCAATCGGATATCGGAATACAAAGTTATGATAAAAATACTGAAAGAAGGTGTAGCTGCCTGTTTAAAACAAGAAATTCCGTTACATAATCCGTTAAAACAACAAATTCCGTTAGTTTTTCCATTAAAAATAAGAAATTCCATTACATAACCACTTTTAATATATAGAAGATGTTTGAATAATTTTTTGAAAATTCTTTTGTCTCACTAAGGTAACTTTATCTGATTTTTATTTTTTTAAAATAGAAATTCGGCCAAACAGGTCCTTAATTTACTATGTACCGAAATTATATCGATTTTATGTCACACGTTACATAATACCATTTCTCAACTAAAATTTTGAACCTACTTTTACGATCATTGTACGACAATAAGGGTAATAATATTACAAGGTGTTGGTGGTTGAAATAATTATTCAAAGATTATACTAGATTGATTCCATGACTTCACAAACCTATTCTCATACTATTATCTGCTAATATAAATATAAGATTTTTGGATGCATATTAATTTTTTTTTTAATTCTGTCACAATCTTTTATTTTCTCCTTTTCCCATTAAAATGAAGGAAACTATTATTTTCTCTTTTACTAATGTTGACCAAAAAAAAAAAAAAACTAAACAAAGTAAAAGAGGGCTGTTGCAAGTTGGAAGAATTACACACGTTTTGGTCGGTCCGGGGATTTTGTGTTCGGAAAATCGGATTCTTAAATTGGGTCAAAAGCGCAGATTTGGTATTCCTTTCGGCTGGCAAAACGTATTTGGTCTGGAAAGAATACATTTGCTTTAATGAAATAAACCAACTTTTGAAATCTTATAAGATTTGCCTCCGTCATCATGTTTCTTCAATAATTTTTTATTCATGTTAAGTCTCTAACAACAATTGTAAATAGATAATTTTATTTTTTACTCATAAATTAGATAATAAAATGAGAATTATGTTCAAAATATAAGCTTAATTTAAATCTAAGTTTGATAAAAAAAAAAAAAAAA